ATGCCCAGGCCTCGTGGTCGTGGATGAGGTGCGGTGCGGTGATATACGGGCTCACAGAAGGTTGGGTTGGACTTGGACTTTAAAGTAGTGCTGCCGTCTTGCTTCTCATGGACTGGGCTTACCTTTATTCCTTTTTGTATCTCATGGACAGGGCTTAACTTCGTTTTGATTTTCATTTATTTTGGACAATTTGCACCTACCTTGCAGACGTGGTACATGCACTTCCTTTATTCCTTTCATCCAAAATATAATTTTTTTTTGCCCGTACATTGCATGGGTTTATTTAAAATTTTTTATATTAGAGTTTAGATTTTTTTATTAATTTTTTTTATCAACTTTTGAGTTTTATAATAATTTTTAATTAAAAAATCTAATTAAGTAATTAAAGTTGAGTTGGAAATTGTGTTTACTAATTAGTAAGAGTATTTAAAAAAAATTGTATATAATCACATTAAAAAAAATATTAATAGAATTAAAAAAACATTCAATATTAATCTTTATCTCATAATTTAAATATATTTGTTCTTTTTTTCCTACTATTATTTCTATTTAAAGATTTAGACAATATTCTCTCTTCTCTCAACTAAAAAATTACAATACACTTAAATAGAATTAAATATCTGTATGTTGCATGTGCTTGCATGAGATCATTTTAATATTCTTTTCTCAACATTATGTAAGTCAATTATGTTAGCTTAACCATGAATAGCTAACTGATTCATGCAACAAAAAATGAAACACAATTAATCATTTATTGTTTTTAATTTTATGTCAACACTCTCGATATATAAAAGGCCTAAAAGCCGAAGCACACAATGTAGAAAAACTTGGATAAACTTCAAGAATCAAAAGAATATCCACAAAAAGATAAGGATTAATACCTCTAACTGCAGCCTCAGTATTTAACGTAGCCTTTCTTCCAACAAACCATCTTCATTTGGAAGATGATGTTGGTATATTTTTGTAATACAAAAATAATATATAAGGGTGGCATTTCTGTGGCCAGACCTTGAGTCTTCTTCATCCTGCATACTCATGAAGGTGCAGATTCCAACATAGTAGCTTTGAAATGACTAACATGTTTTCAACCTACAAAAGGAATTATATTAAGAAAATTATGCAACTAAAGCTATAGGAAACCTCTGAGATAAGATTGTAGGTCTCCATTATGTACAAGATAACATAACACATGTGTAGCCAAATTGTATAGCAAATATTACTACTTAGACAATATTCCCAAAGTAAACAACTTTTACTTCATATTTTTATTTCCATTCCCATCTATACTACTTATAGAAGAGTTTGAGATCTTAAGTTTAAAAGTCTTCAATTCAAAATTTTGAAATAAACCAAGAGGGTGAAAAGAGATTTAGAAAATGAGAAATAATTATCCTCTTTTGTTCTAAAGGGGAAGATGAAGAAAAAGAAGAAGAAAATTGAAAGGGCCAAAAACATAAATGCAATTCATTGAAGAAATTTAAAGAAAATGAAATGAACTCACAACACCTAGCCAATTGGTTAAGGCAAAGTTGGTGAAGAGGAAGACGAAGACTTATACCCTAAATTAAAATGTGAAAAAGTTATAGAATCACAAAATGAAAATCTGCATACCTCAAAAGCTTTGTCTCTTTACCAGACACCATCTTTCCAATCATCAATTGAAGACCATTCCAAAAGGCAATCTATGCTTAACCCCCTCTAAGATATTATATATGTTTGAAGCAATGTTCGAGCATTTTATATTTAACTTTAAAAGGCAAGATTGTTGAATTAAGCCTACTTAAAATTAGTACATGTTCTCATTTTAAAAAAAAAAGAAGAAGAAGAAGAAGAAGCTAGTACATGTTGATTCATTGCAAATTTGAATTTACAATCATCTTCCCTTCTTAAAACTCTAATAACCATGAATGGTTAAGAAAGAGAAAATTTGAAATAAGATGAAGAAAAATACCCATGTCAATCCATTATATTATATCAACTTCTCATCTCAAAGTTTTTTTGCATGAATCTATCCCTATCTTCCAATTAAAAAGAGTTGTTCTTAACTATGAAAGCAAAACACTGTGCATAGTTCCAAAGTTATCTTGTTAACAAAAATAAGTTCTATCATTCATCATTTCAAGCTTAATATCTAACAAATTAAGCTCATAATCTTAAAGCCAAACAACTCCAAATGTTTTGCCTACACCAAATTTCGATTGTACTAATCTATTATTCCTTGTTATCATTAACATAAACAAAAAGAAATTAATACAAAACCTCTAAATGGATTTTGATTTTGAAACTAGATTGAATAATAAAGTAAAAATATGAGTTTGAACATTCTTTGTCCCAAGAAAAGAAAAAAAATTCAAAATCAACAAAGATGGAGTTATGTTAGTTTGTTATAAAATTTAGAGTCATGAATTGTAAATTAAGTTGAACTCTCATAGGTTTTAAATCAATCTAATTTTTATAGTCATTTGGCATATAAGCAGGGTACATAATTTGAAGAAAAACATATAATTATAAAGTTTCAACTCATCAAGATATCAACTTCCTATTTTAAATGAAAAAAAAATAAATACAAATTATTCTTTCATTTTGAAAATCTTATGCTTTTCAATTATGAAACATAAAAAACAATAATATCATTTTTCTTCATCAATCATTGTTTTGTTCAATCATATATTTAGACTCAACCATATCAATGATAACTTCTAAAGTTTGTCAAATTAATACTCTCCAAGCCAAATTAGAAAGCAAGGATAGTTTTCCAATTAACTAACTAAATAAATTCATAAGTTGGAATCAATAGCCATTATAAGTTTCATGAAATGGATAACATTGGGTATTAAAGAAACATACATTTGAAAGAGAAATGCTAGTACTTCTTCATAGACAGTAACCAAAATCTAAGTTTCCTTTATTGTTTTTTTTCTTAGTTTGTATTGTAAAACATTCTAAATGTCGAAATAAGGCTTCAATTATTAAACAATTTCAGCCACATACAATAATTATGCATTAAGCATTATGGTCTATGATAACAAAATCAAAATTTGAAATTAAAA